CACACACACACACACACACACACACACACACACACACACACACACACACACACACACACACACACACATCACACACACACACACACACACACACACACACACACACACACACACACACACACACACACACACACACGCACACACAGGTAGAGCTGTAGCTGAGCCCGCTAGCAGGGATGAAGGCATACCCTGCGTGACGCGGTGTCACAGCGTGCTGTTCGTGACGTTAAGAGCTCGCAGAGAGGCTCTCGGTAAAACAAGTGGCTGCAGAGAGGCGAAGGTATAAATCCGTCGCTAGCTACGGAACTGTGTTGTGCGACTGCATGGCTTTGATGTGTCGACTGCATTACGTCATCGCTCGTAACGCCGCTTACTCGCTTTACGCACACACGCACGTACGCACGCACATACGCACGCACGCACACACGCACGCACGCACGCATGTACGCACGCACATACGCACGCACGCACGCATATACGTAAGCATGCATCTACGCACACTCGCATGTGATGTACACGCGCATAGCAAGAGAGACACAGAAAGAGAGAGAGAGAGAGAGAGAGAGAGAGAGAGAGAGAGAGAGAGAGAGAGAGAGAGAGAGAGAGAGAGAGAGAGACGACGAGAGAGAGTAGNTATATATATATATACACGTCTGCACCCTCCATTACAGAACCGCCATAGCGATGACAGTTCGCGTACACAAACCCACCCCGAGGCAGCCGCGCCAGCAGGCAGGCAGACAGGACACTGGCCTCTTTGGGTGTGAGAGGATAGGGATGCAACTGGTATACCTCCTAGATACTACACTCAATATAGATAGTACATCCACTAGAGCAGGGAGTTCTTAACCTGTGGTCCATGGACATGTTTAGGGTCAGTGGATGGGCTTCAGGGGGTACGTGAACCAGGCGCATTCTAAATTTTCTGTTTATGCGCATATGTGCATTTTTTCTGGGGAGGGGTCAGTAGCTTTCACCAGATTCTCAAATCGGTCCATGACACAAAAAAGGTTAAGACCACTGCACTAGATAGTACAGCCACTAGATAGTACACCGCTACGGAAAAAGATGGAATAATAATATAAGCATAAACAATGTGAATAACTCCTAAGCAATTCAGTTTGAAACGTCGTTTAGTCATTATTTGTGAAACGTTTCTCTTAGACCGCCCCCCCCCCTCCATCCCTGAGACACATTGACTGGGCGCTGCAACTTTTCACCATTACTCAGTTTCGTTTCGAAATTTTGCGCCCAACCCTATTAGCAATTTGCTCAGACTGCGGCTCTGGCAGTTCCCGACTCACGCCCTGTACGCCCGGTGATTGTCGAAGGCATGGAAAGAGTAACTGTTAGCAAACACGATATTCGCTTATTGCTAGAAGCCCTGCATTCATGTAGGATTGGTCTTTCCGATTTCTCAAGCTAACTAGGTGGTAGAATTTCCCCCCTGCTTAATATTAGTCCTAGGCGCAAGGGTAGTCTTAGTCTTAGTGACAGTTTTCTAACATTAGCTATATTATGTTCTGTGCTATGCGTTAGAAAGCTATAACAACAATCAAAGCTTGGTTAAGGTTATCAATGTCACGCACAAAATCGTCTGCTGACGTTCTGGCGCGCATTCACCAATATTATCTGATGAGTAACGTTCGGTGCTGCCCTCTAGTGAGGAGTAGACACGTGTCGGGATTTACCAGAGCTATCCGAATGTCAGCAGATAAATACTTCAAAGATAGTCGCGTTTCAAATTTGGGATTTTTCATATTTTGAAAATTGCGCATGCGCAAACCTAGCGTGATGACTCATGCGATGAAGAGGACGCGACACGCCTTAACACGGGCCTATATTTGCATCATCTGCATATTGTAAGCGAGGGAATTTCATTTGATGATGACACGATTCTCTCCTATTTGCTCCGAGGAAATATTAGGAGAGGATGTGGACATATATACAGCGGTTGATGATATGCACATACGTACACGCAGACGTGCGTACGCACTGTACGTACACACACGCACGTGCACGCATGTACGCACACACACACACACACACACACACACACACACACA